CAGTCAGCCATCACGTAGGTGACTGTGATACCATACCATAAACAATACTGCTGTAGTGTAAGAGAGGTGTATACCAATTAAAGCATGTATCAGGGCACACATTCCAACATGTTCAACTCATTAATTCACATATTCAGATTCCTACTGTATTAGAAATGCGACATTTGTAACTTGATCTAAAAATAATGGATGTAAATTAACAGTGTTCTCCTTCCACTGTTTCTCTCTGTGTTTCCTTCAGGTATGCAGTGACGAGCTTCTGTAAATCCATGTGCATTGCTATTGTTCCTGCCCCCACCCGTCCTGTGCTGGTGAGAAACCCTGATCAGTTTTGTCTGCTCCAGTCCAATAATGCACCTGAGACCAATCTAGTTTGACTTTGTCCTCTGTGGGCAAGTCCCAAGCCTTGTCCATGGCTGGTCCTGCCTTAAATGGGTAATCACCTAGCGCCAAGCTGGACCCGACGACTCCACCTCACCACACCCGTTCCTGCTCCTCTTCCCCGCCCCTTAAACAGTTTTTGGAACGTACACACATACCTCAGCTGTACAACTCAGGGTTCCCATTGGCCAGCAAAGAGGAAGAAGAGGAGGAGTATGTCAGTGAGGCAAACCTGCCGGCTGCACTCCAGGTGTTCACGGCCACATGCAGAGATGCAGAGACCATTACTGGTAATGTTGCATGCATATGTTATAACTGTAGGTCAACAAATCTTACTGGAATCCATTTGATAGTGCTGAATCAGCAACTACATCAGCAACTACATGCATAAATATATAATTCAACATTCAAAGATGCTCTCTGGCTGCATTGCTGTGGTAATAGAAGTTCTGCATTAGAATTTAATTAAAAGCTTCCTACAACAGCCGTCCACAAACGAACGGCTTTAGAGCAAGCTAAGAGGAACACTGTAGGCTGAGGATCATGATGACTGTTTGTGGGAGTGAGGCATGCAGAGCTGTGAGAAGCTGTCCCTCTCTGTGACCCTTTTCTAATGTCACATCCTGTCAGTGAAGCAGTTCCTGGGGACTCAGCTCAGTGTGAAAGAGAGAAGAACTCCCAGAGGAACTCTAATGTCTTGTCACAATTTAGCTGTGTGATGGCCTGGCAACTTTTACCATCCTCTCTAAAAACAGATGTAGAGAATGTAGAGTGAAAGAATGAACAGGACAGGATTTTCTTACTGTTTGTTTGTTCAGTCTGGGGACGTCAGTGACGTTAGGTACAGTCCTAACAAAGGTTTGCACAGATGGGACCTGTCGTCTACTGGAGCTGGTATTGGGCCATTGTTTTAAACAGTCAGAGACGTCTTGAAAGCAGAACTGCATCTTAATACACTTCTGCACTGGTTTGGCTACTGTATTACTTACTATAAATAGTTTTGGAAAAATCTGACACCCCAGGGTTTCAATGTTATGATGTAGTTTGTTGATTTTAGTTTTATTTTCAGCAACATGGCCTCAGAATCAGTTGCTTAATATTGTGTGTACTAGAATTACGTCCCTGGGAGTGGGCACTAACTCTTTATGGTCACTGGATCAGTGCATTAATGGCTGCTTCCTAATGGACACTCCTTAACCAGGCTTAGGTACACAGGTGGCAGACAAAGTTGCATTCAATTGTACTATAGCTCTGCAGAGCTTATGTGAATTGGTGAGTTCCAGTTTTTTTTGGAACTGGGTCAAGTGTCAGAGAAATTATGTTAATTGTGTTATTGTGCTGTAATTTAGTGTAAACAGTTGGATAATATTGAACCTTAATATTAAGTCTTGTAATTTTCAGAAACAGGCTGGTGACATTTGGCTACAGCAGCCAACAGTGAAACATATTTTGCAAGGTCAAATGGTGAAATGACACGCTGTGGTCATGTGCCTTAAGGCAGGAGTTACTCAAGGGCAGGAAAGCAGTGGGGGGGTAAGTCAGTGCTGCCATCTGCTGGTGGGATAGTAATAATATAAGAAGCATAGATGTACTGTGTAATCGTTTTAAGTTCTTACTTTTCTCTGTATTTTCTTCTGTGTTTTATTCAATTCCGTTCAGTTTTATTTGTATAGCACCAAATCACAGCAAAAATCATCTCATGGCACTTTACATAGTAAGGTCTAGACCTTGTTCTTATTGCTTTCATTGTCTCCCTGTCTAACTCTTTTGCTGAATACTTTCTCACAGAGAGAGAGAGAGAGTTTCTGTGGGGGAGTGTGCATATGATTTCTAGAGTCTAGAGGATGAATGAGCACAAAGAGCTGAATAGAGCAACATGTTGCCATGGGGCAGTTCCTGGGTGTGAGCCTTAGAGTCCTTGGTTAACGGCCAGGAGTGAGGTAAAGTGTTGAGTAACTGAATTTCTGGGATGCTTGGTAAAAAAAAAGAGAGGGATCAGGAACAAACACGCAGTTATGTAATTAGACAAACAGTAGAATCCAAACTGCCGAGTATGCGGCCTGACTCTGATCCAATCACTGCATGCAAAAACACCCACTGTGCTGTTATGTATGGAGGAGAGCTTGTTCACTGTATTGTCACACAGAGGCAGAGTCAAGTAACATGAGACTGAAACAGAGTTGATCCAGTTGCGTCACTAAAGTGAGGAAAACTGTTATGTGTGCTATATGAGCAACTGCAACCTGCCTCACTGTAATTGAATTTATTGGAGGAGTGTAGGATTGTAATTGAACTCGGTGTCTGTCAGATGTACAGTATGACGCACACAATTACTGTAAGTACACTGTTGCAATGGATTTAGTGTTTTTGTACACGAGGCTCTGAATGATCTGGTGTAGAACGACTGGCTGATTTGCATACAGAACAGGCTGAACTGCATTAGTTTTGTTGTTGCTGCAGGAGCCTTTCAGCTACACCGCATGAAAATCAATTTAGTGCTTTGTTGCATGTGAATATATTGAATGTTTTTGTTTTGTTTTTTTCACCCTAAAACAGGAGTAGGCATGAGTGCATGGTTCTGGGTTGTAGCTCATCTTTCAGGCGTTGTTAGCATGTGGTGTTACGTGTTTACATGTTCTATAATATCTGATAGAGCCGCATGTCCTGTCATGTCCATGTCTCCTTACTTGATTGTTTCCAGCTCTTGTATCTGTGTATTCTACCTGACAGGAGCTTTATAAAACTACAACAAGACTGAATAAATGACTTTTAAGTTGTCAGCCGGTTTGTCCCATTGTATTCCAAAAAACATTTTGCAAATGTTCTTCTTGTATTGTCATGCAAAGATATATTGTGTTATTTTTACCTAGTGGTAAACTTAACTCACTGGATATAAGTAGGGTTAAACAAGAATTTCGCCAGTAAAACAGCCTCTCTTCCTGACACTAAGAAGCAAACTAATGGCCACTTCTTTGCTTATTAGTTTAGTAAAAGTCCAACTAATCAGAAACACTAGCTTACACTTGTACCAGTAAAATCTGATATATGGAACTGATGAGGTCAAAATGTCACTTTGGCATCACAATTGACTCTTAATTCACAAAGCCACGTAGGCATATCTTGTGCAACAATAAATCATTAAAATAGTGTGTACAGTACATGTTAGCGGTAGCTGTCACCAAGCCAGCAGTACAGTGATGTCAGCCACAGTGAAGCTGAGTGTCAGTTTGGATTTATGGGGTTGGTGACATTCGAACACCTTGGTGGAGCCTTCCTCACTTAGCTCTTGTGGGCTGCCAGTGATATTTGACCACAGTGTCATATTCTCCTGTATGTCATGTGAGTACCCTCCGTGGCCAGTTTACAACTGTCGCCTAGTCTAATTCTAGACTGTGCTGCAATATTTGGATGTATGGCTTCAAATGGCAACATGTGGTCCAACAGTAAGTGTAGGTGTACTTTCAGAGTAGCTGCTAAAAGCTAAACTAAACGAAAACCTTTTGATCATTGGCTCTTTCCTATTCACTATGCTATTGTATGTTTAAATAAGATGTCACACCCTGTAACCAGTCCTTTTTTGTGTAACTCAACTACAAAGAGGTGGCCATTAGTTTGCTTCTTAGACCAAATACATGAGTCAGAGCTGTAGGATTACATGGAGAACACACCGAGTGGGGTTTTGGCAGTTTTTCTCTTACAACTCAGCTGATCTTGTATGTAGGGCTGTGTATTGGCAAGAATGTGGTGATATATATGTATCACAATACAGTTATCATTCAACATATTGCAATACTGAAAACTACGCAATATATTGCTTTTTTTTTAATCAAAATTTTTTTGTCATAAAATAAGCAACACTCCACTATATTCATAAAATGTCCTGTACATTTTTTAAAAACTTTTTTATGCAATCAGAACAGGGATCTGCATTTGCATTTGTCTCGATCCCTTTAGCGTCCAATGACGTAGCACTACTTGGCATGTGAGACATTTGCATTTGCATTTTTCGCAGCCCGTTTAGCGTCCAACAACGTAGCACTACTTGGCATGTTAGCGGTTTATTAAAAATTGACACTGTGTTTTTGAGGATCGATACAGTATTAGAAAATGTAATATTGTGATAATTGTGTATCAATATTTTCTTACACGCCTAGCTGTATGGGCCATGATTGCTGCTGTAACTGGGTTAAATCTGGTTTGATGACCTGTTGAGCTGACAGTGAATTATGTTTTACACTTGAATATGCCCTCTCCTTAGATCTCCTTAGTCGCACGTCTTTAGGTCTGTGTTTCTCCACGTATGAATTGAATGAAGTGAAGCTGCAAACACTGTAACAGTATGAACAGTTTCAGACTTGCTGTTAGCTGCTACCTGCAGTGTGTTCATACAGAAGCTGGATAGGGAGAGAGAGAGTGTGTGTGTGTGCAGTTAGTGCAGAGTCCAGCTGGGTCTGTTTCTGTCAGAGTGAGGGGGGGCAGGGCAGGGGCGGTCCATGTAGATAGCGTCATCAGCATGTCAGGCGTGATGAACCAGTTTGGCTCGGGTCTCTCCTCTTCATTCCTCCCTCCCTCTTTTCCTCTCTTTCTCTTTATGTCTCTTAAACCCAGTACCGTCCTCTAAAACATTGAGCACCCTCTCTTGTTCTTCCTTTCTCTCACTGCTCACAAAACTTCTCTTTGTCTCTCACTCTCTCTACAATGTTTCTTGCAACCTTGCCTTTTCCTGGTCCAGTGGAAAATGTGATCGGAGGGCAGGATAGTTGATGGTTGTTGGGCTTCAGGCACCATGAGTGAGTATACTGTGCACATTGTAGTTTTTTTTCCAGTGTCAACTGGTCTTTAGTTAGGTTTAGAGCTAGTTTGGCTAACATCTGGATAGAGTCAGTGTCTCTATCCCTCTGACTTCCCTCTTTTTGTCTGCCAGTGAGTCAGCGGGTCATTTCATGTTATATAAGAGTCGTATAGTTCAGGGAGCCTTTGGGATTTGCCTGTACAAGTTAAATATTTGTACTGTCACGTTTATGTCTGTAGAATTAAGAAAAGTTTGTTAATATAAAAGTCCAAATCTTACATTAGAGGTAACTTTCATATTAACAGTTAAATAATGCATATTTTTGACATTAAAAGTGAAAAGTTTGCAATGACTGTATTATGGAAAGGTCAACTTACAGTAGCTCTGCCACAAGTAGCACTTGATGTTGCTTAACAGAAGGCAGCCATGTTGGATTTCAGTAGTTAAAATCTATCCCGTTCTAAAGTCCCACTCCTGTTATTCTGTGTGTGGATGGTTTGCCCTGTGCTTTTATACTGTACCCCTCTCTCTTCAGTGACATGATTTAAGCTGTCACTGTAGAGATAGGGCAAGTTTACCCATGAAGCCCATGTACTATTTAAATCGACTTTCTCAGTAATTTTACTAATAATAATAATAAATGATTGTTATTAGTAATATTACAATAGTAAGGTCTAGCTGCTGCTACTAATGTTGGCATCATCTGAAGCTTGTGTTCTTTTGGCCTTCAACTTCTCTTGGTCATAAACAACGTTTTCATTCATCTCAAATGACAAGAAAAAAACTTTGTGATTTTTTTAAATACTTTGATTCAGTGTTCAGAATTAAAACTTTGCATTACTACATCCCTGCTAGATGTAACACAGTATGTTATACAGTATGTGTACAACAGTGTCTTAAGGAAATCCTGACAGAGAACAGAGAAAACACAATCTACAGTGTTTAACTGCATATAAATAAATATTCAGCAATTATGTTACACAGACAGGCTTTTTACTCTGTACTTTGGACTGCCATGGTTAGTTTTTGCACTCTTTGTAGCTTATTTAGTGACACGGTTTTGATTGCAGAACTGTGAAAACAGTGTCCTGCACAATGCAACCTGGATAAGAGAATACATTCAAGCAAGGGACCTCTGTTTTTTGACAAAAAGAGACAATACCAAAATAGAAAATTGTGTTTTACCAAATACAAAACACGTGCACACACACACCTACCATTTGCCGTCTCCACTGACCTTTTGTCAGCTCACACAGCACAGAGTTGGTGCTATTATTGTCTTCATCCATGTCCTGTCTCTTCTCATTGTTCTGAAGTGCATTGGTCATATTTCAAATCAGTACAGAAGAGAAAGATTGTGGTTCTGAATAACAGTGTCCTCCTCAGGATCAGACTTGATTGAATATGATTTGGTTTCATTTAAAAGTGTGATTAAACAGAAAGAAAGATTAAAGATAAGTTGATGCCTCAGAAAAGTTAACTTTACAGGTACAGGTGCACTTATTACTCCCGGTTTATTATCTATATAAATGTATAAAACTTTACTTACTGTTACTTTGCTGTTGTCTTGTTTATATAAAGAAGAGATCAAAAACCAATGTACGAATACTCAAATAAATTAGTCAGTACATGAATGAATGGATGCTGAAATGTCCCCTGTCTTTTATCACTGGTAGAAATTCAGTCTAACCTCTGTGTTGAAACCTCATTGGCCGAATGAGTCCTCATCTGTTATGCTTGCGTCTATGTGTGTGTTTCCTTTTTTCAGTTCAGTCAGTCACTTAGTCTGGATTAGTAGAGTGTGAGAGACGGCACCAATAGAGAGACACAGAGGAGAATGACAGAGACAGGAGGAGGAGATGGAGAAACAAAGGTCTTTGCCTTTATTGTATGTTAATTTACATTCTGTTTGTTAATTCTCCCACATTTCTGTAGAAAAATGGACTAAAATCTGAATTCTGTGTCTGAGAATGTGCTCTATAGAGTCCTAAATGTATGTCCTCTGAATAGCACACTAAAGTGATGTATGAACAGAGAGGGGCATACTGTAGCTGAAAGCTTAGGAAAGACCGTTTAGTTTTCCACTTCCTGCCTGAGTCAGTGGTTCACAGTACAAGGCTACCATTGAGTTTGGATTATCCTTCTATTTATATTTTACACATTCAGAAAAGGGTCCTGGAAAACAGAAGCCTATATTTTTGCTGTCATCGTCCGTATTGGAGAAAGTTTATGCTTTTATTTGTTTAATTCTCTGAAGTGCCCCCCTCACCCCTTAATTTTTTAAAACTTATTTATATGACTTTTCTCAGACAACAGGGCCTCATAGTTGGTAATGAGACCTCCCCTCAGACAGTCCCCACTTGTACATTTGTTACGCCTTTGAGAGTGACATTGAATCTCAAAGGCATTTTGCTACACAGACATTAGAGAAGTTAAGACTGTACAATAGAATTTGATATGTGTGGGTTTTGATGTGGCCTGTAATGTATGTTTTTTTCATATTGTTGCACCTTGTAAGAAATGTTCTACATTATTCATCATGTATTATTCCATTTACATTTATTATTGTCTAACATGACCAGATGAGTTTCTTTCTACCATCCCACACCAAGGAAGCCTTTAGTATAACTTAGCTGGGCATAAAATTTGTCTCAAATTAACCTAAACTTCAGCAGCGCTTCGTTTGTGAGAGCAACAGAATAGTTCCAGTCAGTTCGTCTGTTTCCTCAGTTGGCCACTAGAGTGCATTATATACTTTGAGTTCCAACAGACCTTGTCCAGTCCATATTATGACAATTACCAGAACTCATAATAATTCATCACGCTAAAATAATCAACCTTTTTTTATCTAAAGACTGTATTATCTATACTCAAGTAATGTGAAATAAATTCAAAGTAAGTAGTGTTGCTAGAGAAGTGAACAAATACTGTACTGTGCCTGTCTTTCTCTCTGTGCAGATGTGTGTAACAGCACTGATTTGCCAGAACTTGAGATTATCAGTTTATTGGAGGAACAGCTACCAGTCTACAAGCTGAGGGCCGACACCATCTTCGGCTATGACCAAGATGATTGGCTGCACACGCCACTCGTGGACCCCGACTCTGCCCTCGACCTGACTACTGAACAGATAGAGGAGACCCTCAAATATTTCTGTAAGTTGTTTTACATACTGTCTTTCAATGATATCAGTCGGTATGTTCCTACAATTCCTAGAAATAAGTCTGTGTCATAAACTACGGACAGAAAATTTGATTTCTAGATTTAACCTCCAGGAAATTGTTAGTGGAGATCGTCAGTGAGGATTTAACATTGAGAGATGAAAGATTTGTACTGGCCTTCAGCAGGTGGGAATGAGAGAGCAACAGAGAGAGAGATGACAATGTGCCCGTCACAGTGTGGGCATGACAGCTGGTCCTGGTTGTCACAACAAACACTTACTGGGTCTCTCTGTCACTCTCCGGGTGATGTCTTTCTCTTGCACTCGGCCCTCTGAGTTCTAATGCAGTCTGCTCTTGTCTTACCAAACTAAGAGCTGCCTTGTGGTTGTCATCGATGCCAGCTGTAAACTACACCACACACCCACTTGGGTGTGAATAAACACACACAGACACACAAACCAAGAGAATTTAAAGTGGGTTTTTTTTTTCACCATCAATAATTCAGTGATGTCTGCTTGAACAGCGATTCAGGATACAAACTGTTTCTAAAAATAAATCAAGTGTCTTATAAATAGGTTTAGCCGACCTCACCTCGATGCCCCATGCTGACATGAACACCTTGGACTTGACATTTCTGTGACAGCAGGCCAGGCTAAGATGTTACATAACATTATGAGACATTCTGCAGGAGGCATTTTGTTAAAAAGTCAACATTGCTTTTGTACCTTTTACCGACTGGAGGCACGTTGCTCCTCTGTACTGTAGTAAGAGCTAAATAAAAATAATTGATAGTTCCCCTCAAATGTATTGAAACTAAATGTAAGGAGTAGAAAACTACTTAGTACACTAATGAAGTATTTGAACCTTGTTACTTCCCATCAGTATAGCGATAACACAAGTATTCTCCCGCAGTACAGACTGTGAACTTAACAAAATCTGCAACTGGGGTCTGATGCTGCCTCACTGCATTACACAAGTAGAATATGGAGCAGTTCTATGACCCCTCTGCATAGTTGGTGTAAAGCTGCATGCAAGTCACTTTATTAGCAGAAACTGCTTTGTTTCATCAGAGACATATTGATGAAGCCAGTTTCCTCATAAGCATCAGTTTTTTAGTCTACATTTGGTCTGTTAGCATTTAGCTTTGTGTGAGCTAATTAGAATTTATTGGGGTATATTTAATCTTTTAATAATATACAGGAATTTCCAAGCACGTTAGCACTGAATTTTGCTCATATTGTTAACAAAATGGCTGTATTTTACATTTTGCCTTTGCCATGATGGTACTCCAGCTTTCTGTCTCTTTTGCACTGTGCATGTGCTTATTTCATCATTCACCAGATAAAGTAGCCAATCCCAGAATCCCCGCTGTGCTCACTCATTCTGGGTTAGCCACGTCACCTCTGCCAGCACTACACTCTCATGCTAACTGCTTCTACATGCTGCTCAGCCTCAGGCCTTGGAGTCTGAGCCTGTTACTATAGCAACCACACAGAAGGACAGAGATGGGGAGAGGAGGGGGAGATACTGACATACAAATGGAGGGTGGGAGCAAGCTGTGAGATGCTCCCGCTGATTGGCTGTAGGCATCCTCTGAACCACCCATCCCATAGTGTCAGGATCGTCATCATTTCTGCAGCAAAACCCGTGACTGCTATTGCTCGCTTTCTCACTCTCTGTATGTCTGTGTTTATTGAGTCATTGTTGGAGATGCAGTGGTCCATGTGTATGCTGGTGCTGTCACTGAGCAGGGAATGTTACAAAGGAGAAGACAATAGTAATAATATGACCGCAGAAAGACAAGACTCAGCCCAAGGACAGACTGACAGGTGCATAAGAAGATAAACTGACATGAAATGGATGGTGACATGAGAGGATAGAAGCATTTGCTGAAGCTTTGGAGTGACTCTGATAAACTGATGGACAGAAAACAAAGAAGACACACTAAAGGACAGAGACGGCACAGATTAACTGAAGATTTGCAGTGAAGCGCTAAATGATGGACTAAAGGACAATAAAGTGACAGGCAGTTTTTTTATTTATTTATTTTCCCAACAACTGATGACGCAAGTAGCAGTTCTGTGGGATGGTAAGCAGAAATGACAACCAGCACCACAGCAGATATGGAGCACAATATGCTAAGAGCTTGCTGTTAATGAGATGGGGGCAGAAAGGACATATGATGAGCTTGGGAAGACCCTCATCAACAGTGACAATGTGCCAGCTGGTAACTTGTAAGCATACGGGGATGACTGACCAACAGCCATGATCGGTTACAAATAAGACTCCAGTGACAGCTGGTTATCGCTAAGCAAGCTGGAACATCGGATCTTCCAGAGATGCTACAGCTAATTATGCCAGGACATTGGAAACACTACAGCGGTCTGTCAGAGCAGTGAGGATGAAGAGACGAGGCCAGAACAGAGGCCAGAGGTTTGTCAAGGCAGACTACTATGAATTGGACTGGTACTATGAGGAGTGTACTGATGGTAAGACAACAGTCTGCTCTGGTTTCATGCAGTGACTTGTGGTTATTGTAGAGTCCACTAAAACTGCTAGTTGCATTGGTATTGCTGGGTATGTGGTGGTGGTAACAGGTTTGTATATACTATACACTTTTTGTTAGAGAGCAAACAAGCAAACTGAAACTAGAGTAAAATAATTCGATATATTACCAAAACTCACATGGTAGGGATGGCTTCAGTGTACCACTATAAAAATACACTGACAGCAACAAACAAGAACTGACTAGATTCTGCACTGACACAGCTGCTTGATGTGCGGTCCATCAGATCACCACGTAAGTGTAATGTTGTTATAAAGAAGTTAAGACAGAAGTAATAGTAGAAAGCACCTCCTGAAAGGTGAGATGGGAATTTTAAAATAACAGCTCACCAGCGCCACAACAAATATGGATCCTAATACACTAACAGGTGCCTTGATAATACCATGTTTATGTTGTAATGCTGTCTGATAGCCTCTGGCAACTAGCCCGGCTTTGCAACTTATCCTCTGGCCACTTATAATTCAAGGTTGGTGAATAGCATAAGTGTTATGAGATCATTGAACTTAAAAAAGATAAAAAGTATTTATTGTCCTTCAGCTAAACTCCCAAGGGAATCGACTCAAACTGAATTCTTCCTCCTGCTGGTTTCTAAGTCAACTCAGAGAATGTCACCTTGTGGATTCACGACATAAAAACATCAAGGCCGATGTTACAACACAGACAAACACAGAAGCATCAAAGCTGTAGCTACAGCAGACTTAGTGCCTGGTGGATATGGCAGGTGCTCTGTGGCTGCTGAGTCAGTGGCTTCTAAAATAGGGCCCCAGAGTAGCAGTGGGTGTAAGTGTAGGAAGTAGGACTGGGGATGGCTGTATGGAATGGAAGGCCGTCTCTGGCACTGATGCCAGCCACAGGGTTACTGGGGCCACTGAAAAAGGGAGAAACATAAGCGTATCTGGAGAGAGTAAAGTCACAAGTTGCAACAACTAAATTCACTGTGAAAATACATGCTGTGTGTAATGAAAATAGCAGGAATCATAACGGAAGAGTCTTAAGATGGAAATAGTCTTAAGTGACTGAAAAGTAAAGTTGGTCAAGCAGTGAAATAACATACTATCCATAATAAGGAATCTGTTATTGTTAACACCTTTTTATTAAGATTTTGGGCTGGAAGAATCTATAGTGATATCAAAAAAACATAGCTAGTAGCAAATCACTTGCAATCCATTTACCAATTCACTTTTCTGCATGTGCTAAGGAATTTGATGCAGTGTTGCACATTTATGTAATGTATCCCAGTTTGTCTTGGATGTGTAATGATTCTACAGATTGATCCATACACAAATAATCAACATGGTGGACTGGTAGCATCTGGTCATGTGACATATGTGACAAACACTCAGGTTATGGCAGAGGTTGATTTATCACCAGTCTGTTGACAGTGCCTCTTGCTCTTCCTCCCGCTCTTAGTCTAGGAGTTATGTTTTCTTTTTTTTGCACTTATGAGGTTGGTTATGGTCCCATCGTGGTTATTAACAGGGATGCAGGGATAACATTTTGAGACAGCTCAGCACCTCCACAGTGTGAGCTGTGCAGCTTATACATCTGCAGTGTTATTTTGCTGTGGCAGCCAGAACAGGTTTGTTTTCCAGTTTTGGGTGATTTGACTTTGTAGAGAGATTTTCTTTTTCTGCCAGACACAGACAGAAGACTTTAATGTGCATAATGCTGAAATGATCAAACAAGAAAATGAGAGATGATGGGCAGTTTCTTTGATAGATCTTCTAGTGGACAGTAGAGGCAGAAATAGAAAGCAGCTGGTTATATTCTGACATGTGCAAGGGAGGGATGAGGAAGTAGGTTGGCTTATTTTTAGCTCAATGACTTTCATCCTGCTTGAAGCCAAATATTCTTTGGCACTTTCAGAAGCCTTCAAACAAATGGTTGGTCAGGCAGAGGGGAACCAGGACAGGGGGCCGGGGCTCAGAACGAGGGCAGACAGTTCTTCCAGTGGGAAAATGACAGAGGGCAGGGATAGGGGTGGGAAACAAAATGGACAGATTAAAGTTTTAAAGTGGTTAACCTCTTGGAAACGGTGCCAAATAATTCTATCACGAGTTGGCATTTGCTTTTAGAAAAAGAAGCATCACTGGAAGATAGTTCTTCCCTGGCCACTGCTGCTCTGTTGATCATTTTGCTACAGTTGCTGTATAAAAGGAAATGGTGAGAAGGAAAGAGACCACAAGGACACAAGTTTGGTCTGGAAGCCTTGTTTTAGCTACATGTAGGTGGGTTTCTGGATCTCAGCAGGGTTATATACTGTACATCTAACTGTCAAAAATATAGTAATTTTCTTCAAAACTGTTGTACAAAGTATGTCAACAGAAACTGAACAGAGGTTAAAAGAGGGGGAGGGGGCTATGAGAGGGAAAGTGGACAAACAAGTAGAGTGTAAAGCGTGAATGTGACCAGAAAAGCAATGGGAGAG